GCAACAGCAGCAGCAGCAGCAGCAGCAGCAGGTGATGGCTCTGGTGATGTTTACAGTGTCTCAAGTTGGCTCGACGCGGACCGTCTGGCTCAGGGGTTCCACCGCAGTGCTGCAGGGCTGTGTGACAGCAGCAGCAGCAGCAGCAGCAGCAGCAGCAACAGCAGCAACAGCAGCAGCAGCAGCAGCAGCAGCAGCGGGGCTGCATGCATTGGTGGTGTGCTGGCGGCTGGCTTGGGTTCCTGCGTGGAGTTTACTCTGAACGGGAAGCGCTCAGGCATCTGTCAGTTCGGGGCAGCATACACAGACAGCAGCAGCAGCAGCAGCAGCAGCAGCAGCAACAGCAGCAGCAGCAGCAGCAGCAGCAGCAGCTGCTGCGGCCTGCTTGCTGATGAATATTTTCCTGCTGTGTCGCTTATGGGGGGCGGCAGCTGCGCTGTTAATTTTGGGCCTTCCTTTTGCTTCCCTCCGCCCCCTCCTCCTCCTCTCCCTGCTGCTGCTGCTGCTGCTGCTGCTGCTGCTGCTGCTGCTGGGTTTTCTGGTGTTTCTGCTTCTGCTGCTGCAGCTTCAGCAGCAGCAGCTGCTGCTGGCCCCTACCGCCCTGCATGCATGCTGCCGCTGCCGCGTGCTGCACCTCTCACATACGATGTATACAGCTGCCTGCTGCTGCAGCAGCAGCTCACTCCTGACCCCCAGCGGCTCCTCCTCAGGCCCCGCACCCTCACGGACGTCGTGCAGCAGCAAATACTCAACAAACCCAGACAACAGCAGCAGCAGCAGCAGCAGCAGCGACAGCAGCAGCAGCAGCAGCAGCAGCAGCAGCAGCAGCAAGGGGAGAACGACAGCGTAGACCCTTCACTCCAGGAAGGAAAAGACGAGGCCCCTCCGTGTGATGCCAGCAGCAGCAGCAACAGCAGCAGCAGCAACAGCAACAGCAGCAGCAGCAGCAACAGCAGCAGCAGCAGGAAGATGATGGATGCTGTAGACCCGGCAGAAGCGGCTATGCTGCGCACTGCTGCTGCTCTGCTGCGTTCACCTGAGGAGGTAAGACAGCTGCGTAGGGGCCTGCAGCAGCAGCAGCAGCAGCAGCTGCTGCTGCAGTCTATCCACCGCTGCGCCTTTCAGTCGCAGCTGCGGAGCTGCAGCAAAATACTGCATGCAGCAGCAGAGTACTGGAAGGTACCCAGAGCCCACAAAGTAAGGAAAAAGCGGCCGTGGGTCAGACACAGCAGCAACCTCCGCAGCAGCAGCAGCAGCAGCAGCAGCAGCAGCAGCAGCAGCAGCAGTGAGAGCAGCAACGACTGCAGCAGCGATGAGGACGCATCCTGCTTCTCCTCAGCAGCGGAAGCTAAAAGCTCTCTTCAGCAGCAAACCGAAACAGACACCCGGCCTGCAGCAGCAGCAGCAGCAGCTGCTGCTGCTGCTGCTGCTCCTGCTGCTGCTGCTGCAAGTTCAACAAAAGCAGATTCGTCGTTGGCTGCAGTGTCTCGGCCTTCACAGGAAGGCAAAAAAGGCAGCAGCAGCAGCAGCAGCAGCAGCAGCAGCAGCAGCGCCAGTAACGCCAGCAGCGATAGCAGCAGCAGCAGCAGCAGCAGCAACAGCAGCAGCAGCAGCAGCAGCAGCAGCAGCGGCACTCCTTATGTAGATTTCTCACACCCTTGCAGCGTCCTCTTCTCGTTTCTGCTGCCAACGCTGCGGGGCCTTCATCCCCCCGCTCCTGCTGCTACAACAGGCGAAGCAGCAGCAGCAGCAGCAGCAGCAGCAGCAGGACGAACAGCAGCAGAAGCAGCAGCAGCAGCAGCAGAAGCAGAAGCAGTTGCAGCTTGGAGGCGTTTTGCTTTTCTCTTCTGGCTGGTGGTTGCACCCCTAGACAGCCAGAGGAGGCCCCTCACCCCGGCAGTGTTTATTAACAACGAGGCTGTAGCAGCACACCGCAAGGCCAGGCCCTCTGCAGCAGCAGCAGGAGGTGCAGCAGCAGCAGCTGGTGTATCGTATGAAACTGTGCAGGTAGGGCAGCTGC